TTCAGATTCAAATAGCAACACCATCAGCAACTATGAAACTCCAGTCTCCAGACACGTGTGCATGACGTATGTATGTAAGCTCATGAATCATTAGGCTTCTCTTTTATTTATATTATTTATTTAATTTTTCTGGACTTTTTCCTCAATTAATAGAATACCTACTGAAGGAGGACTTGAGGGAATAGGTCGTAGATGAGTTACCTGATTTCTAGTTAAGCAAATTAAGCAATTGTTAGGAAACTTTAATTGGTACATCCTCAGTAAGTCTGTTTTCAAGAGCCTTTGTAACTACGTACATGATTCATCTCAAGAATTCACATAAGATATATACTTAAATAAACTATATAAAAGAAGTTCTATTTTGTGATGTACATGCCTTCTTAGTTATTACAATCGAACACACATGACTATCAAGGCATATGTAACTTTACGAAGAAGACATATATCAATTCCACTATTTAGTTCTAAATGATGGAAGACATGTTTAAGTATCAAACATAATCTCATTGTTTTGTACTATTTAACTCATTCGATAGATTATGATAAATTGACTGAATCTCTCTCTATATTTCCTCATAGCATGTATCTCTCTATACGTTGCCCTTCTTTCCCATAAGAACTCAGAACCGCATTTCTACTTGATAGACCTCTTTTTCTTCTTACATTTAGAAACGTTGTAGCATTCATCATATTTAATTCACTCATCTTTGCTACACAACTCTTTAGGATTCAAAGTTGCCTTAACTTCAAAAAAACACTACTAATAATCTCCGGCACTCATCGAAAACATCATTTACATGTCCATAATCTATAACCAAAATAGTTTTGAAAATCTATTTTCCTATTTTCAGTTATGAATAAAAATATAACAAGTTATGAATAAAAATATAACATGCTACTGATTGAAACTAAGAAAATAACATCTTTTAATGATGACCATGAGCACATTAAGAGTTTCGGAGAAAAAAATTCAAATTAAGAAGATTAAAATAAAATAAAAAAGATCATGAATGAAAATATAAGTAGAACGTATGAATCTAAATGTATTGAAATATTAGGAAATGTTAGGTTTTATTGAAAAATAATATCAATATACTTCAAATAACTTAGATATTTCCAATATCTATTTAATTAATTTTATCGAATATATATCGAAAAACAACACAATTTTTTGTAAATAAAAAAAAATCTCATAAATATACTGTGACACAAGACGCACGTCCAACTTCCTAGTTTACTAAAAGTCCTGCATTTGATCAAGTCCTTTAATTTGCCCTTAAATTCGTACGCGGTTTCAACAGACTACTTTGTGGGTAAAACAAAACCCTCGTACAGTGTGCGTGTATCAAATCGGATGAAGGGGGAGAGATGCAACCAGACATAATCATCTCTCTAATAGCAGAATCAAACACTTACTTTCCATTAAGTTCATGGCGGCAATATTAGAACACCGCAGCCCACGGCGGCGGAAGCAAAATACGGTCGCGATCGATCAGCTTAGCGATTTGCCGGACGAAGTCATCTTTCACATTCTCTTATTTCTCCAGACAAAGTTCTCCGTAAGAACCAGCATTCTATCTCGAAGATGGAGGTATCTCTGGTCTTAGGTCCCCAATTACTTTTCCACAACGAGAATCAAGGAGGTACCATAGATAGGGTTCTATCTCTACACAAACTGCAGAGCATTGCCACTTTTCGCGCCACCGCTTGGATTCGCCAGGGCATCAAACTGAGAAATGGATCAAATTCGCCGTGGAGCGCAACGTGCGAAACCTCCATCTCAATTGCCGCCAGTTTGATATTGTTTTGCCCCAATGAATATTCACCTCCAAAACCCTAGTTGATCTGAGGCTGGAATCGTGCGGTGTAGTCCCCGATATAGGTGGTGCCGTGTTCTTTCCTCGGCTGAAGAACCTTCATCTAATCCAGGTTCAGTATGAGACCGACGAGTTGCTTCCGCACCTTCTTTCCGGTTGTCCGGTGCTTGAGGAGTTGTCGGTCGAATTATTCATCGATTATTCTTCTTGTAAAATTTCTTCGCACACTGTCAAAATGCTCGTGATCAATTCTTATTTCGATGGTCGGGGTATGACTACGAAGGGTACCATCATAGGGTTGAGATAAATACCCCTGCCCTTGTTTGTCTCGAGTTGTTTGATTACTCGACTCAGTATATCAAATGTGGGGAGCTAACCGCCTTAATCGAAGCAGATATCTATATTTGCAATAATGTCAAGCCTGAAGACGGTTTTCTGTACTCTCGATCTTTGATGGAATTTATCGATAGGCTCCACAATGTCAAGTGCCTGAAATTAAATTTGATTAATTGTACAGAAGTGTGTTTTAATTTTAAATCATTTTTCTCGTCTTATTGTACATTTAAACCCAATGTTATTAAAACCGGACCGGACACAAAACCAGCTAGATATTTGGGTCACGGTTGGACCGGTTCAACCGGGTTCGACCCGGGTTTTTTTTATTTTTCAAAATTATAATTATTTTATTAATTTTAATAATTTAAATTTATATTTTCATATATTCTTTTTTTATCTTTCACACTTTCTTTCACCTTTATTTATATATAAATTATCACTTTTATTATTTTCCACATCAATTTTTTTTATATTTATTTTTTATTTCTCTCCTCTTTTCTCTTCTCTCTCCTCTCTCCTCTCTCTTATCTCCATCTTCTCTTGCCTCATCACCTTCTCCAAACTTCATCCCGTCTCTCTCCCTTTCCCTTTTACTTTTTTCTTTTCTTTTTTTCCATCTTCTTTTTCTCTCTGCGCAATCCAACAGACAATTCCGAGTCATCGACAAGCAGATCCCTCTAATTTCGTTCACCCACGATCAGATTTGTCGAATTCCGGCCACCCACGGTCTACTTCAACCAAATCCGACTACCCCTGGTGAATTACACTCCGTTTCCACCACCAACAGCCGCCGACGAGGTGTTTCAGATGAAAACCCGGGTCGTTGACCGGTTTCCGGGTTCACCGGTTTTCTCCGGTCGAACCGGATTTTCGGCATTTGACCCGGGTTCTCGATTTTTCCGGTTTTGAGCATCAAACCGCACCGCTTTTGTGCCGGGTCGCGGTCGGATCGGTCCGGTCCGGTTCCGATAACATTGGTGAAACCTCTATAAATTAATACAGTCGGGATGATATGTTTTATTATTTAATTTAACTAGAATTAGTCAAATTATAGGGATAATTACAGTTTTGGTCCCCCAAGTTTGCACGTTTTTCATTTTTGGTCCCCCATTTACCGCCGTCAACAAAATACACATTAATGTTGTCACATTTTAACACATTTAGTCCCTCCGTCTGTTTGACCATTAAGTAGTAACGGTCAACGGCTGAATTTTGGGTTTTTCTTTGAGAAAATTGCAATAAGACCCCTGTATTCTTTCAAAATATTCTAAAAATCTCTAAAATTTTATTCAACCATAATTTAACCCCAATTTCATCAATTAGCCTATTTTAACCAATGACCCCGATTTTTCAAAATTGGGTAATCCGACCTTGACTTTCTTTTTAACTCGGTTGACTCTTTTTTCGATTGATCTTTTTTTGCCGCTTTTGACTGAAGTGGAATGTCGGGTTAACATTGTTGACATTTTTCTCTTGATTTTTATTTTATTTTTATTTAAATTGTTGAGTAATGGAAAAATATAATTTAAAAAAAAAATTAAGCTGATAATCGATAAGAAAAAAAATATCATAAAAAAAGTCAAAATAAAGAAAAAAGGAAAAAGTCAACGCATCTCAATAACGGAAAAATTTTAAGACAAAAAAAAAGATAAAAATTAACGGGCGGTGTTAGCCCAAAAAACCGTTTACTAGATAGAGTGGTTATCTCATTCCAAATTACTCCGCACATGCCTAATTCATCATCTTCATATTTTTTTGGGAAGAAATTTGGGATGCACTGGCGGTTCCAGGAAGAATACATTGAGGGGAACAAATTATGGATTTTAGAATTTTTTAAAATTGTAGTTAGGCCCTAGAATTTTAGATAAAAACTTTATTTGAAGTTTGTAATTTTAATATTATGATACTAGATATTAATATAGTATTATTATTGTGTTCTACGGTAATTGTGTTGATTAGGAAAAAAAAAGTCACAAGAAAAAAGTTCGTAAAAATTCAAGAAAACTAAAAAAATTCAACATTGTTAACCTAGAATATAATATCGGTGAACGGCGTCAAAATTATATTAAATAAAAAAGTCAATGCCGAAAAAAAAGTAACAAAAAAAAACAACTTCGGTCAACGTCAGCGGAAATGCTGGTAAAAATCGGGGTCGTTTGTCAAAATTGAATAAATGATGAAATTGGGGTTAAATTAGGGTTGAATAAAATTTTAGGGGTTTTTAGAATATTTTAAAAGAATGCAGGGGTCTGAGTGCAGTTTTTTTCTTTGAAAAATCCCAAATTCAGCCCTAATTCAACAGTTGACCGTTACTTCTTGACGGTCAAACAGACGGAGGGACCAAATGTGTTAAAATGTGACAAGATTAGTGTGGATTTTGTTGACGACGTTAAATGGGGGACCAAAAGTGAAAAACGTGCAAACTTGGGGGACCAAAACTGTAATTATCCCCAAATTATATGTTAGTGGGTAGTTTTTTTATTAGTGGGCATGAATTAAATTAGTGGGTTAGTGTGGTTAAGGGGTTAGTGAGGTGGTAGTTAATTATTATTTATGAGTATTATAAATAGGGTAATTAGAATGTTACGTATTATGAAGTTTAAGAATCAATTAATCTCCCTTTGTCTTCTCTTAATTCTCGTCTCTAATTCTTCTCCTAATTCTAATTCTCCTAATTCATATCTCTCGATTTCTTCTTAATTCTCGAACTATGTTTCTTTACTCAAATTACCACGTAACAATGGTATCAGAGCCGTTACGTTCCATGGAGGCTCGTAACTAATCAGATGCTGAGTTTCGTGCTGAGGTTATTGAAAAAATAGCTCGACACGAATTAAATTTCGACAAAATACACAACACCCTCCAGGTTGTTCTCACCGAACTTTGAGCCAGGCAAAACATAACCATACCTACAACACACGCAACACATAACCTTGTTCCAAATACAAACCTCAAACAACAAATTCCAAAAGTCGCCACAGATAACGCAACGGAATGGATTTTCCAAGCCAAGCAATATTTTGAATTTCAAAGTATTGCCCAAAATCAGCAGGTGCACCTCGATTCATTTCGTTTGGAAGGACTCATTTTGGAACGGAATCGCCGGTTAATTGGGTCAAAGGGCTCGTCGGCAGGGGAATATTTTACTAAGGCGTTGCTCTACCGTTTTAGTCCTACCGAATTTGACGATCCTTCCGAAGCCCTCACTAGTTTCATGAAACAAACACTCGTTGATGCCATTTAGCATGAAGAGTTCGAACAACTCTGTCAAATATGCGATGGATCACCCGATCAACTGAATTCACAAAATGATCCCATACACGTATCAAGACTATATCCTTGAGGACAAGGATATTTTGATCGGGCGGGAATGATATGTTTTATTATTTAATTTAATAAGAATTAGTCAAATTAAATGTTAGTGGGTAGTTTTTTACTAGTGGGCATGAATTAAATTAGTGGGTTAGTGTGGTTAAGGGGTTAGTGGGGTGGTAGTTAATTATTATTTATGAGTATTATAAATAGGGTAATTAGAATGTTACGTATTATGAAGTTTAAGAATCAATTAATCTCCCTTTGTCTTCTCTTAATTCTCGTCTCTAATTCTTCTCCTAATTCTAATTCTCCTAATTCATATCTCTCGATTTCTTCTTAATTCTCGAACTATGTTTCTTTACTCAAATTACCACGCGGGACTAGCAAAATTCTATTAATTTAATACAAATTTACCAACTCGAACGGGAAGAAATTATTATTTAAACGAGGTTATTAATTTATCGAGGTTCTACTGTATATCGATTTAGTGATGATAGTCTTACACTGTTGTCTCTGTGCTTGCCTTCTTTACTGATTATTGACTCGGTATTCTCTACCTGGAAGAGCATAAGTTTTCATAACTTAACCAAACTCGAATTGACTACCGATTGTTATTTTCTCTCCAAGCTCCATGAAAACGCTGACAATCTTGAAATCCTTATTCTCTCGGAGGTCTGTTGATGCAATTAAAAAAAGGTTTTCGTCTTTTTTTTACCGTCTTTTATAAGTGAGAGCCCTTTTTCTTTTACTTTTTTTTTTGTTATGATTAGGTATTTGAAGAAATAAAAGGATGGACGGAACTGCAACAAGTGCCGGCATCCCTACTATCGCATCTTAGAACAATAAAGCTTGATCTCTATGTAGGTAAAGACCACAGGTTTAAATTGATGAAATATCTTTTGAGCAATGCTCGGATATTGGAGAGGATGCAAATAGTGTATCCCAGGTCCCTTGATTCTACAGAAAAGATTTATATGCTCTGGGAAATCCCACTATTTGAACGAGGCTCAAGGGCATGTGAAGTTTCTTTTTTTCCGTAATTGGAATGGGTTGCATAACGAGTCTCTTGATGTCTATATTTAACCAACACTTTTGTCGTATCAAAGTTGATGAATCCCTTCAGATGTTCGTTTTGCTCGATGAGTTGGTAATTTGACTAATAACGGGTCTCAATTTGGTTTTTGGGTGGAAGATGCATTGATTTTGGAAAATTGAAATCAGCTCGATTTTGCTGCTGCGTATTGAGAATAGTACGCATACAATCTATTCGTTGGTTTTGTAATGATTGAAAATTTATATAGCTTTTACTAGGTTTGTTCCTATTGTAACTGCTTTAGACGAACTAGTTTGATATTCAATGGTTGGTTGGTTGGTTTTTTAAATTTTATGCTTTGATGTAATAAGATTCATTCATGCAGGCTGAAATGATAATTAGTTTAAACCGCACTTCATTTTATAAAGCCGTGCTTTACCCGAGGTCGATATGATCCCGATCAGAAATGGGAGCAGGGCTCTACTGAATACTGATGTTGTCTTCTACTATTGCTGAGAATTTACCTCTTTGAACAATAGTTATTAGTGTTAAGGATGTTGAACCCCAGTTTGATTTCATAATCATGGTATTAACTTGTATATGCAAATAAACATGTGCTATTTTGAAATAATGTTTTTTTTTAATTTATATTAAACAATAACTGCAAGTAAATTGCATAATCTCCAGAGGCAAGTTCTGATGTTGAAACTGTAAAGCATTTCTGGCTTTAGTCGAGGAATAGGAAACAGATGATCGCTTGGTCGATATTTGTTTAACATTAGTAACATTTTTTGTCCAAAGGTTTATGTTAGCTGAACACTTATCTTTTTACCTGTATCGACTATTGGCCGGACAAAAAAGGGAAGGGAAGGAAAAAAAAAAGAACGAGAGTTTCCGTTGCTCAATCATGGACGTTCTCGTTACTCGCGGATGTATATATACAGTCACGAAGATCAATACAAGTAATAGAGGAGGAAGATATCAAACCATGGAAAATTGGAGAATATGGAGGATTGTTATCAAATGAAAATCTAGACGGTCTTTATTGAAACAAATATAGTGTTTCCTCTCTTTTTCCCTATCTATAGCTTCACATAATTAAAAGAAAAATATATCAATATAAATGAAATTGCAAAGTATTGATACTTTTCGCCTATACTAGTACTTCACCCGTGCGTTGCACGGAAGTCAGTTTTGAAATGAGAAAAAATAATAACATGGAAACGACTATCTCTTTATAACAACACGAATACAAGTAAAACAAAATGGAAGGAAATAAAACAAATGTAAACTTTATCTTAATTCAGAGTTATAACATATGAAATTCAATTAAATATTATAAAGAACAAAACGCGAAGCGCGCAAAATATGATATGAAGATTAAGTGACGTCATTTAAAACATATGGTATAACTCTATTTCGTGGAATGCAATTTACTACACCATGCCAATCTTCTGCACAATAACTAACTTAACAACAAACACGGTAGAAAAGAAGTGACACAATAGATATTCAAATAACCTGTAAGTTAATCTCTAACGGCGTTCAATTAGTGATGCACATTACTCAAACAACAATACAACTTATAAATATTGCAAAAGAGATAAGATGTATACGCTATTATTGATACCAACGCTGATACCAATACTGATACCAATATTGATACTAATATCGATACTAATACTAATACTAATACTAATACTAATACTAATACTAATACTAATACTAATACTAATACTAATACTAATACTAATACTAATACTAATACTAATACTAATACGAATAATAATACTAATACTAATACTAATACTAATACTAATACTAATACTAATACTAATACTAATACTAGTACTATACTAATACTAATACTATTACTAATTGTAATCCTACAACTAATACTGATACTAATACTAATACTAATACTAATACTAATACTAATACTAATACTAATACTAATAATAATACTAATACTAATACCGAAACTGATATTGATATGATATTGATATTGAAATTGATATTGATACTGATACTGATACTGATAGTGATATTGATACTAATACTTATACTGATACTGATATTGATATTAAAACTGATACCAATACCGATACAGATACTGATACAGATACTGATACTGATACTAATACTGATACTGATAATAATACTGATTCTAATACTAATATTAATACTAATACTAATACTAATATTAATACTGATTCTAATACTAATATTAATACTAATACTAATACTATACTAATACTGATACTAATACTAATACTAATACTAATACTAATACTAATACTAATACTAATACTAATACTAATACTAATACTAATACTAATACTAATACTAATACTAGTACTAATACTAATACTAATACTAATACTAATACTAATACTAATACTAAGACTAATACTAATACTAATAGTAATACTAATAGTGATATTGATATCGAAACTGATATTGATATTCATATTGATATTGATACTGATACTGATAGTGATATTAATACTAATACTTATACTGATACTGGTATTGATATTAAAACCGATACCGATATTGATACTGATACTGATACTGATATTGATATTGATACTGATACTGATACTGATAATGATAATGA